CACACACACACACACACACACACACACACACACACACACACACACACCAACGATCACCAAGGATCCTCCGTCTTGTGATTGAAGCAAAAATCTGTTCATGAATGAAAGGAGAGAGCAGCACAGAAAAGAAATAGAGGGAATAAACAACCCAAGAGAGAAAATATATGAGTGAGAGAAACAACATGGTGTCTGCAAGTTTCACTGACTGAAAATTAAAAGTTACATTTTAAAAATATGAATCAAATCAGACTTATGAGAGCAGAAAAACAGCTCCCGAACACACACATTGATGAAATCTAAAAACTGGCTTTGAGATTAAAAATAATACATTTAAAGTCAACATGTTTTCTTGCAGACACCCTGTAGAACAAAACAAAAACAAAAACCATATCAACCCGTCAATCAAACATACTGGAACACTACTTCCTGTCTCACCCCTCTCGTCGGGCCCCTCGAATTCTGGGGGGTTCTGGGTACTGTAGTCTTTTTCTCAGACAGATAGTGGCTGACTAAGTCAGTTCTGAACCGGGATGGAGGAAAAATGTGGGCGCCCGACCGGGGCCGGGAGGATGAGGAGGATGGTGAGGATGAGGAGGATGATGGTGGAGAAGGAGGAAGGGAGGAAGGGGACTGGTGGGGGGGGAGCAGGAAGAGAGGACAAAGCCAGAGGTCAGGACGACACATTGTTCATCATCAAAGCATTCAGGTTTACGTGGAGATTATTCACAGGATTCCCACCGAGTCATGAGAGTCAGAAGCATGACTCGTGTGTGACTTTTCATTCGTTTGATTTATGTGTGTGTAGCCGACAGGAAGTCAGCCACTGAGAATTCATTAAAAACGGATTTTCTCAAACAGCATCTTAGTGTGAGTGACGGGATCCTACATGAACATAGTATTTCCTGACACAGTTAGATCAGTTTAAGTTACTTTACATGAGATATTGATATATTTATGTTTTTGTCATTGGTTGGGAGAGGGCGGGGTTCTGTTGAAAAAGGTGATGTCACATTCTTCTACATACCAATCAGGATTGAGCAATGTTTGAATCAATAACAATACATAGTTAACGAGTAAAAAGTGAATGAATGAATGAATATATATATATATATATATATATATTTAACTATATATATATATATTTAACTTTAATGGTACCTTATTTAGTCATGAATATTTTCATTTTACAGAGAAAAACCTACTTGTTGAAAATTTAAACTGACCCAAACACACACCCTATCCATCACACAAGTCTCCTGATACCACGAGGCAGCTGATGACGGCGACATGAACCAACAGCAGAGACAATGATTAACCAACACGGTCTTTATGGAGAGGGGCAAGGTCCAAGAAGTGTATCGGGGGAACAGATTTGAGAGTATCGCTGCAAACGCTGGAAAGGTGACAAAAAACTTCAACTCAGGACAAGATGAGAGAACAACTGAGGAGCAGAGAGAGAGAGAGTCATAAAACATGAGAGCTCAGCATGTGACCTGCAGTGCAATGCTCATATTCAGCTCCCACTTACTTCCAAAGGTATTTGACCCGTTTCCTTATCTCTTCTTGAAAACAGTAATTAGAAACAAAGTGGAATATGGCGATGAAGGGATGAAGCTCAATTTGACAAATCTAACCACTCCAATTGTTCCTAATCATTCCTTCATCTTCTCAGCTAGAACATAATGCTGTTGGTCGAGATGACGAAGCGTTCGCGTCGACTATCAAGTCAAAGTTGTATTTTCTGCCACTTCATTAGATCAAAATGCAACAACAACCCAAACACGACGAGCACCCTTCAATCCTCGTACCTTAGGTTTCTTCCCAAACAGCCACAGCTTGTTCTTGGTTCTGCTCATTGGGTGTTTTGGGTCGGGTCGTGACCCGGGGGCTGCATCTCTGTCTCTGTCACGGTCTCCTTTGGGTGTGTTGCTGATTGTCCCATCGGATCCGGTTCTGCTCAGATTCTGACTGAAGTCCTCAAAGGGGAAGTCGGCTGGAGGTTCGAAGCCCGACTTAAACGACTCCACGACAATGACTGAATCCTGGGAGGTAGGGATGAGAGAAACAGATGAGCGGTGGGAGAGAAAGAGAGAGATTTTTCTCTCGCCTTTCTTTCATCCGTCCTCCACTGCACTGCACTACACACCCTTCGCATATCGACAGCTTTGGCAGCAGAAACCATTCCTTCTAGACATTTGGAGACAATAGGAATGACTCTCCGCTCTGCCTCAGCGAAGCTCCGGTACGTCTCCCCGAGCTTCACCGTTCGACGTTCGTCCATGTCCTGCAAATTCTGTAACGGGGAGCAGAGGAATTGGAATAAACACTATTAACAAAGTGCTCGTACCGACACTTCCACAAAGCAGTTAACGGCCAGTCAGAGTAAGCAGATCCTTTCCCTGGGCAGCACTGATACCAAGTCAGTTTATTAGTAATGGTTTACATGAGACAAGCTGCTAAGTTAAACAGTTAACGGTTCACTTAAGCAGCGATAGTTTGTGTGTTAGTGACAAGCTGATTTCAAACATTAAAAATAGGTAAAATGTGAGTGTTTCTGTGCTGCTGGTGTTCTTTAGATATCCAAGAAAATATGCAACAAAGGCCAACAAACTTTTTATTTAAAAAGGTAGTTCTGTGGTCTATTATTCGGGTTGTGGAAAAAAAAGATTGTGCTTTACCTTGAAGATGTGCGGTATGGCATTGTTGAAATGTTTCCACTGCTCTGCGTTGAAGTTCTGCAGCTGAGCGGCGTACTCGTTCTTGCTCTCATCAGCCATGTGAGTGCGCAGGTAGAACTGGGCTTTGGCCTGAACGATCACAGAAAACACAAACAACAGAAGCGTCGGCTGAAGCCTCAACAACCTCTTGTGTGTCCAACACGACCGCGCGAGGAAAGTGCACGGATAATGGTACTTAGAGACATTCTGAACCCAACCGTACGAATAAATGCATTTCGTTTCTGTTTGTCAGCAGGATTCCGGAAAAACTACTGGCCCGATTTTCATGAAACTCGGTGGCAGGGTGCATTGTGGGCAAAGGAAAGACCCATTTCATTTTGGAGCATATCCTAATCACAGGGCAAACACACATATTATCTTTCATTTTTGTTAACATTGGGCTCCGAGTGCCCTTCTAGTTTCCATAGCTTTCAGTTAAGAAGTGTTTTTAGACAGTACCTCATCTCAAAACAAGGCTTAGTGGGCAGTGCTTTAAGCTCGATTTGGAAAGGTTTATTTTCCTTCCAGCTTGAACTTAATCCACCTAGTCTAATTATACAGTAAGGGTGGAGGGAAAAGGGAGCTACAGTATAATTTCATAGGCATCAATTATACACTACTAACTTTAGGGAAAACTAAATATGAGACAAAGTTATTCGGTTATTTAATCGCTGAAATGTCAAAAGATGAGAGAAGTGTGTTTAATCCCTGTTAAGAAGTTAGCTGCGGCTCATCCTATAATTTGGGTCATGTGCTCACTGTAGACTGAAAGTAAACACGCTGGTATTTTCACTGACGGGAAAAGAAAGGAGAAGCTGGCTCAAAGACAAACTACTTATTTATTGCAGTAATGTGGGAGGTGGGAACTTCCTACCTTCTCCACCTCTGATTTGGTGGCGTTGATGTCATTATCTAACCGGTCGTAGGTAATCTGGGATTTCTCTGCTTCTTTACACTCTCTCTCAAACTTCCTTTTACTCTGAAAAAAAAAAAAAAGACACAGAGACAGAAAAAGAATGGTGGCATAATGTTAGACATATCAAGAAACACAAAGAATACACGGTACAACCCCTTCATTACAATGCACCGTCTCTCTTTGTAGTCACTCGTCCCTCAGGGAATGAAACTAAAAGAAATGTGAATGAGAGCTTTGAACGCGGGAGAGGGGGAGATGAATCAGGCAGAGAGAGATAGTTTACTTCCTGCCAGCCCATCTGGGTCACATTAGTAGTGAAGGAAACACAGCGAATAGCTGAGACATTACAGTCCCGTCACCAAGTAGTCACTATTAGTCATGCGGACCACACAATGAAACACTCTCCATCACATGTGCCGGAGCAAAGGGAACTCAACTCATGGGCTACAGGCCAGGAGGGGGGAGGGGGGGTCCCCATTTGTCCTACAGTTACCTTTGTTAGCATTTCTTGCATTCTTTGTGCAAACAAGTATGAGAGATGAGTACAGCTGGCTGTCCCCAAAAAAAAAGGAGAATATTTACACTAAACACGCTCCCTCCTCACTTACGTTGTCCATCAGTTTCCAGCAATGATCCAAATGCTGCTGGGCCTTCCTGCCCTCCTGTAGGTGCTGGTCATACACACACACACACACACACACACACACACACACACACACACGAGACATTTACACAGAAATAAAGTATATAAAAACACATTCATATACACGAAATGACTGGACTAAAATACTTTGTGTCAGTTACGTAGACAGTAACAATCCACTGGAAACAGAAGTGCTGAGACCACAGACACAGATTTACAAGAGTTCAGTGACTAAAGCAGTAAATAAAATGACAAATTTAGACGTAACTGCACTGAACACTAGTTATTCATTACATCATTAGGAAACTTTTGCAATCATAGTACTTATTAGCTTTTTACAGAGCTCCAAAAAAAAAAGCTGGTAAGTAGACCTTCAGTCGGGGCTGTTTGGACCAAATCCTATTTCCGAGGTCAAGAATGAACTTTTATGCTTAAAAAAAAAACATATTTGTTCAATTTGTTGCTGCAGCTAAGACAATAATACCCCCTTGTTTTTCAAAATACAAACAAAAATCAGAGTCTTTATAGTTTTAAGACTGAAAACAACAGCCTGTACATCGGGTCCCTGAGTGAAATTGAACGGGCCGTTTGATGCTTTACAGGAAGAGGGCGCTGTTCTTCTGAAGCACACTGATCTCAAATGTTCAGAGCTTATGGCATCAGCAGATGGTGGAAGTGAAAAACAGATGGTTGACATCCCATCCAACAATATTTATCCTCTTGAGTGAAGCCAAACTGAAAATAAATGCACATGAGGCGACACACAGGATACAAGAGGCCAAACAGCGACATCCGCTTCACGACAGGAAGCGACAGGTTCTCCGGGAGACGTGGTCGAAATTATCAATAGACGCGCTTTGAAAAACACCAAAAGCGAGCCCCGCGTGTCACTTTATGTTTATTTAATAACACGCAGAGGGCAGTTGCAGTAGGAAGCTCGTTAGTGTACTCACGTGCTTCCTCTCAGCTTTCAGGTCCTGGCTGTATTTCATCAGCTCTCCATACACCTTGTGAGCCATCTCCTCCGCCACCACCTCCCTCTGACCGGCGTAGTCGTTGAGCTCGTTCATTACGGAGTAGAAGGACAGACATGTTGTGAACCTACACAACACACACACACACACACACACACACACACACACACACACACACACACACACACACACACACACACACACACACACACACACACACACACACGTGATTAACGTGTTTGTCACAATGACATTGTTATAAGATATATGATTCATAAATGAGTAGAAATTTATATAGACCCTGAATTTCTGTGTAGAATCAGTGATAATTGTGACGTAAAATGAATAATTACAAACAGGGATTACTTAGATTGACTGTGATGCAAACTCAGTTGTTTTACTTTCTATCTTTACAATGTTTTTGCAGTGAGACTTGAGGAAACATTTGAGTGTTTTGTGCAGCGCGTGAAGTTTCAAAGATTCAACAGTCACATGGCACAGCTGTTTCAGAGGATGGAGGGTGAGTGGGTGTACCAGGTTTTATTATGTAGTGCTCTGATGTGAAATGACCATTTAAACTGTTTGTGAATTTTGCAGTCAAGACTAAACGAATGGAAGCGCTTCCAGTCTGCAGGCCGCCACAGAGTGAGTAAAAGCAGAAAGACTGGAAAATAGAAACAATCATCCAATTTCACTCACCTCGGCTCCTCCTCTTTAGAGCGTTTTGGACAGTATTTCTTCACCAAGTTCCTGATGGGAGAGAGAGAGAGAAGCAGACACAGAGGTTCAAAATACTGTCTGATATTTTAAGCCTGCTGGTAAGTCAGGCGCGCACACACACACACACACACACACACACACACACACACACACACGATCTCAGTGTTTTATTAAAGATGAATCAAAGATTTAAACATCAAAGCTTCTGCCTGTTCGTTCCCTCAGGCTCTCACAACACAGACTACAGTACAGCAGCGAGTTCCTGATTTAACTAGAGAACAGAGGCTTTTATGAGTGTGTGTGTTTTCAACAACAAAAAGGAGCTAAAAAGTGTTTCTGCCTGATTCATTGTCTGAACTACATGTACTGTAAAAACGTGCACACGTCAACACACAGCTACATCTTTGATCATTCATCAGACCTGCAGAAGCACTATAGAGTGTGTGTGTGTGTGTGTGTGTGTGTGTGTGTGTGTGTGTGTGTGTTAGATATTCTGAAGGGATTTCCCCTCTTTGAAATCCACCACTGGGACTCTACTGGTTTTTAATGAGGATTATTGTGTTGCAGCGTTGGATTTAAAACCAGTAAATAAAATATATGACCACTGATGATTCACAGCGCGACTGCCTTCATTTCAACATTGTCAATGGTTTGCACTACTAAGCGCTGGTATTGTCCAATATGCGTTTGAACCTTAGTACCATGTGCATGCTGGAGATGAAGACAGGCTGCCCAAATAAAGTCCAAACCTTCTCAACCGCTGTGCTGAGATCAGACTAAAGACGTGTGTGTGGCGTCTGAAAAGACAGCAAACGCTCCTGTATTGTGTAAAGTACGACAACCACAGCTGTGTTTGGGACGCTTCATAACGAGCCAACAACACGGAGAACATGTGAAGTTCCAACATGTCGTGTGCCATGTTGATTTCTGACTGTATAATCGCCTAATCTGATGCAGTCGAAAGAAGCCAAAAACATTGTGAGGTCTGATCCTGGCATCTTTCAAGGTCACTGTATTAAAAAAATATATAGAAATGATGTTTAAAAAGGCTGGTTTTCATGCAGAGCCATTCTGTCATTTAATTTGGTGCATTCACTGAATGACATCACAGACATACATGTCTGTGATGTATTAGGCAGGACAATTAAATATTAGTTCAGGACAGAGTGTCTCCATAGCTGCTATAAAGCCTGGGTGTGTGTCAGCATATCTGCCCATGTATGCATGTGTGTATAAATGTGTGTGTGCGTACCGTAGCTGCTTGGCGTAGGTTTGCTCTATGTCCAGCCTCTCCTTGACGAACTTTGAGTATCGCTCGAGAAAATCGATCCCCCACTGAGTGTGTTTGTCCAGATTATCAAACTGGTCCTGAAGAAGAGAGAGAGGAGAGAAAAGAACAGAAGATTAAAAAAAAAAGGAATGAATAAAAAGTCAGATGGAAAAAACTCTCTTTATCTTTCCAACATGAATCAGGAGTGTGTGTGCCTGTTTTTATTCACACAAATAAAACACAGGTGTCCTCCTGTCAATGACTCAGCGGTAGGAGTGTTTCATTTCTGCCGTGTGCACATATCATACACACACACACGAGATGTAGAGCACAACAAATGATGAAAAGTACATCTGCAGATTCAACTCATGCACAGCCGGCATTACAAGAAGCCAAAATGATGATCAATATGAGGATGTACCGCTAAGATCGAGAATCAGCTTCCATGATGCAGACAAATTATCCATGAAAGCCAGAAGATAAAGAAAAACCCAAGAAAAGAAAATTCTCTGGACACTATTTTCAAGTAATTTCAACTATTAATTTCATGTGTAACCTATGATCCCATCACAATGCAGTGAATCAGATGTGACGTCAACCAGACGTCTCTCTCCTGTGTGTGTCAGTTTGTGTGCGTCTTCAGGATAGATGGACTGGCAACAATGTCTTTTTCCAGTTGAGCAGATCCAATCATTTACATGGTATCCTTTCTAATATCAAGTGTTTTTTTGGTGGGGGGGGGGCATTCTGATCTGTATGTCCCTACTGCCCACCAAGAGACAATTAAACTCTCAGAAACAATCGTGAGTTCATACAAAGTTGTAGAAATGACATCAAAGACTGTCCATTCGCAGCTTTTATAAATGAAAACACATTTATCTCAATCTAAGTCGGCATTGTGACACACATATTGTACACGAGTGGCTTTATGGAAACTTAAATACAGGAAATTCTCAGTTACAGAACAGTCTAGAGGTGGAGATAAGCCATTCCCTTAGTACTCATAACTGTGGCGCTTCCACTCTCTGTGCCTCTCTGTTTGTGTGTCAACACACACCAGGGCCTGGACCGGAGATAAATAGGGGTCACCAAGGGAAATACGAGACAGCTGACCGCCCTGTTTGTTAAGTTATCATCTCCTTCCATTACGACAGACAGCACGAAGGCTTTTAAACAGCCACGCTGAGTTTTAGTGTACGAGGAGAGTGTGCGTCGACAAAAACAAATGTGCAATTCAGTTTGATTATCCGTCTGATATTTTCCTGTTTGTGCAGCCGCCGTACATTGAGATCCACCATAAGAGATGAAGCTCGTGACTCGGGGCTCTTATTTCCCCTGTGATCTCTGGAGGAGAACATTTGACTTAACAAGAGAACGCCTGCAGTCAGAAACAAGCCGACAAGATAACCACTGAGACAAAACAAAGGACCCCAGCACGTTAAAGCAAACCGGTGACGCGGTAAAACGTGGACTGGCAGAGTAAACGGCAGCCAATGGTGCCAATTTCATCCTACTCATACCCATCTCAAAGATTTAGCCATAACGCAGCCACGATGTGACAAAGATAAGCAGGATGCTACACAGGAACATATCAGGATGTCCGTTTTTGGCTTTTGTTGTCTCGTCATTATCATCTGCATCCTGCCCGTCTGGTTGCCTCTGCTAAATGCCCACAAGCATGCGAACACGCCTGTCCACCTCCTGTTAGCCAGTGTGTGTGTGTGTGTGTCAGCCTGTGTGACGGTGTCTATGAATAAGTAATAGAGTCTGAGCTCATCCTGGAGTTTGCGGCAAGCTGAGCGCAGACTGGCTCACTGGGGAAATGATAACATCTCTGTGCTCCGGGTCTTTCTGCTCGCAGGAGGAGGAGGAGGATGATGATGAAGAGGATGATGAAGATGATGAGGACGGTTTTAAGCAGAGCGGACTGAATCTGGGATTTACAGTCTGGCCTGCACTCAGTAGCCCACGGTGCTGCAGCAGCTGCACTGCATAGGAACTGATCCAGCAGGCCGTGCACTCTTGTGTATTAGCGTGAGACCAGCAGGTGCTAACGTGCTGATGGTACCATCGCTGCCCAGTGTATTCCTGTCGCGTTGCTACGTTCGTGAGGTTTCAAATGCTGAATAATAGGTTCACTATTTCCAGCATAGTTTCTCATAATTTCTCTAAATTATTACAAAGTAATACAAATATGTCCTCAAAGCAGGAACCATGGACATTCTTCGCCACACAGGAAAAACAGCAGAGACATTTAATGCAACATGGTTTGGACAGGACAGGAGATGTTAAAGCTGTTTCCTGCACACTATTTGATAAAACGTTGTAGTAATGAATTCCAAACGGGGGCAAGTATTTACTTAATAAAAAGGGCTCCATACCAAAAAAATTATTCATAATTACACTGTACAATTTGTATGTGGGCACATGCCTAATTGGACACATGCCACTATGATTGGACAATAATAATTTTTGTTTCCTTCCCAGATTCAAACCCCAAAAATAGGTCACAGCTCTACTTGTGCTGCGTTCCTCGCTGACAAAGCCCGGCTCTGCGTTAATGAGCTCTGATCTCAGGGCGGGAGAATAAATTAGTCATTTAGCTCCCAGAGGAGCTTAAGACGCCCTAGTGTGTAGATCCCACACGGTCCATGTACACCCTGACAACCAATCAGGAGGCTAGACGGGCCCTCCCCCAGCCAATCAGAGAGCCAGGCGGCCTGTGTGCATTCCATGGGAGAAGGCAGGTTAATTAGCATAGAAAACGCTGCTAGGACAAAAGACTAATTACACACGGTGGCATTCCAGAGCACGCACGCACACGCACACACACACGCACACACACACACACACACACACACACACACACACACACACACACAC